ATGTAATGTGAATTCCAACAAGGCAAAGTATTAATTTTACACATCAGCAAAAGACATCACATGTAAACTTACTGTACAGAATATTACTAAGTGGAAGTCTAGTCCATATGTAAGCAAAGGTTTTGTTTAAAGGGGAACTCCACTCCCAAAACAAGTTTGGTTTATCTGAAAGATAATACCTTGAACAGATTGTTCCTGAAGTATTTCGGTCTAATTCTTTATAGTAAAGCAGAAATCGCTCGTCAAAGTTCGCGATTTTTGCATATTTCAACGGCATTTTGTTATTTCCAGTGCAGACGCGAATTCGGTCAGCGCCCTCGTTTTTGACGTCATTGCGTGCTTCGACGCTTGTTGTTGCTTCGCTTTTCAAGTGTTTTGTATAGAGTTTGTCACGAATGCCAACATTTTAAATTCCTCAATGGAGAATTCATCGGATTCAAGCAGTTCTAGTTCCTCAGGTGAGAGTTTAGACGAATTTCATTTGAATATTTTACAAGCGGGCGATGTCCTGGGCTATCAGTTCGAACCAAGACGAGATTCCAACGGCAATAGTGGTGAATCATCGGCTGAGCAGCTTCTTGTTGGTCACAACTATCTTTCAGCAGCTTCTTGTTGGTCACAACTTCCTCTAAGGCAACATGAGCAGGTGAACCATTTTTCAGCCATATGATGCTTTTCTGGTCTTTTGCACTGAGTCTAGGGTGTCCACATTTCTTTATTAGTTTAATTTCCTTAGAGAGCCTCCAACTATGCTTACCAGTGATGTGTTGTAACAGCGATAGCCACTTTTCCCTTAGGATATCGGCATTCTTATCACATGTTGCAGCACACCACCACAAATGATTAGACACACTCTGTATCCATGGCAGCAACTCTTCACACCCTTTCTTTTTTGCCTTCTTTGTCAGCTTTTTGGTGACCCATTTACTTAAATGCCACACATCATATTGGTGTTCAATTTTTGAATAGTTTGTTCGCATTTTTGCTGTTATTGTTGTATGGCGATCTGTTGTAAGGCACCGGATTGGGATTTTCTTCTTGATAATTGAATTCAGCGTTCTTCTACAACCTTCATATTCCATTGCATTAGATGAAGTAACCTCTGTTACTTGCACAATGCTGAATTCAATTATCAAGTTTGTGTTCTCATCCATGAGGGTATAAGTGCCGTATTTAGCTGAATGCCCAGGACTATCGCACCGCCCATCACCACATACATCTATACTGCGGGTTTTCTTTAATTGCTTCACTATGGCTGTTCGGGTTGTTTTCCATGTGTGGTCCACAACTGGGAATAATATGGCTTTCTGTACATTATAGTAATGAGAGGAACTAATAAATTGAAGGTTGAGGTGTTGAGCAAAGTCTGAAGTGTGTTTGTATGTGTTGCCACTAAATAGGATAGCTGCTGGAATCAAAAGGTTTCCTGCTGCAGTGCCGTTAATTTCAGGTTGCGATTTCCAGGAAACAGTGTGTCCATCAATGCAGTTTGCTGTAATTGTGACCATACTTCCATGATCTTTTTTGGTTGTTGTGTCAATTGGGCCACCACAATGTTGACAAGTTTTAAATAGTTTATATAGCTGACTTTCAAACACTATAAATTTTTTTTCTAGGTAATGTGCAGTATCACTGGAACATTCATCATCTGTTTCAAACTCATTATCAGAAGCTGAAGGACAATATAAAGAACTGCTATCACTCAGACAACTATCATTATCTGCTTGGTTTTTTGATTCAACAGCTACCTCATTTTCTACAACACCAGGACCAAGCAATTGTTGATTAGAGACAGCAGTGTATAATGTTGGGCAAAATTCCACAATTTGCCTACTCTTATCTGTTGAATGATTATTATTTGGGCCTAAGGAATAACTGTGATCTTCCAGATGAGTTAATTTATTTATATCATCAGGGTGTGTTGTTGTAGTTCCTCTTGCATGGACATTTTCAGTTTGGGTTCCAATAGTCCTTAACATGGTAAATATGTTCATTGCATGTCTGAACCTCCTTATCTGATGTAATTTTATTAACGTTAACAACATTATCACTTGAAGTGTCTATATCGATATTTGCACAAGGATCATCCAGTACAAAGTTATCTTGTTCCAGTGTTGTTGCAACCTTGATAATGTTAACCAAAAATGAATAATTCCCTGGCTATAATATAGCAGAATATTGTAAACAAATATTTACCCTATTAATTTGCTCTGCTAGATTTTAACCAAGTTCAGAAATAAAGCTATTGAATGAATACTGATTAGAAATATACTGTACATTTTTGTATTACATTTATATCATCAAATATATGATACAGCCAAACACATTCTATGCAAGCATATTGGACTATCAGTATACAAAAGCTATGTAATCACCAAACCTTTCTTGATCGATTTTGTATTTGTCTAAGACTTGATGCTCTTGTTTTGGTTTCGTGGTGCTTCTTTGGGAAAGCAAATATTGTAGGTACTGCTGATGGCTTTAACATTTTACGTTTCTTGAAACCTGGAATCACTTCGGTAGCAGGTTCAAAACAATCTGGAGTAAAATGTGCGCTGCAGACGTACGTATTCGCACGCTCACGAGGGTTATTGCGACGTAAATTCCGCAGCCAAACGCTTTTGAGAGGCCCATTTGGCAATCTATGATAACTAATATCCGTTCCCTTGGTTTTTCGACTTCCATTAGTACACAACGGTACGGTGCAATGCGGCATCGTTAACCTGTTATATGTGTATGTCAGTAAATTTGCATTCAGCGCCTCTCTCCTCCGCAGAGGCTTAGGTTTACTATTACATGAAAGGTTTACTATTACATGAAGTATCTCAACAATTTTTAGCGCGCGGGGTATGATGGGAGGAGGGAAATTTCCCAAGCCTCTGCCAACTAACGCAAACAACATGGTGGATGATTTTGCGTAGAATATAATAAATGTTAATAAAATGTGAAAATACTTATTCATTATTGTATTTTCGAATAGATTTCTGTTAAATATTGCTTCTTAAACAACTTGCTGTTAATATTTTCTCAACCTTCCTACAAAAAAGGTTGTATGAGTGTCTATCGCACATGTAACTTCCTATAACTTGGACAAGTGAGTGCGACTATTTAAATTTGTGGGTGACAACTTGAGCGTATACAGTCCATTGTATCTGTAAAAGATGGATAAAAGACGGGAAAGGAAGACATGTATTGCGTATTTCTGGAAATGCGAATGTTTACTCATTGTATACCGGCGTTCGCTTTAATGTATGGTTTATATAAAATGGACATTTTATGCACGGACAGCTAGACGCAAAAACATTAAAAACGCCAGCAAAAACAGTGGACAAAGTATGTAACACATCAACATAAAGTGTCGCCAGGATAACTCGCATTTGCTTATTCTGAACTGCTTGTGAACTACCTTGAAATGTTTGGATGGAGATACCTTATCAACTGAAGTTACCATATTGAACATTTTGTGACATACAGTACAGTACTATATATTTATCAATGTATAGTATTCTTAACAATAATAAATATACCTGATCATAATTATGTAGGAATTTTTTCATTGGATATGTTATGTATACTATGTATTATAAATATGTTGATGTAGTATGTACATGTTGCAAACTTAGATATATGTTGTAAAGATTGTTCTTCAAGTCTTTATCGTCCAGAAAAGATCTTCAACTCCCAACAGGAATTGAACCTGTGTTCAGACAGCAATCCTAACTAGAGACCATGCTCTGACCATAGATATGTGTCCTTTTAAGCAGAGGTTCATTATACTATTATATATTGAGTCACATCTCATTATATAATAGTATGAACCTTTGCTTAAAGGACACATATCTATGGTCGGAGGCTGGTCTCTAGTGAACACCGCTTAACCATCTGAACCCTATAGTCTAGTCGTATAACAACCGAACTGGCAATCAGAAGACACAGGTTCAATTCCTGCACATTGGGAGTTTAGATCTTTTCTGGACACTAAAGGCCTGAAGTGTTATCTTTACAACAATAAACTCTGCATTGATTACCTTAGTTGCCCATCACATTTGGTGCCCCCTTTTCTGTTTTGATATTTGATTTAATAATTTTCAAACTTAACCATTTATTCTTTCTTTTGTCTTATTTGGCTGCTCACTCTGATACCTGCATCTACCCAGTCCTATTATAACCCCAAACCATCAAGAGAAAGGAGTGAACTCCTGATTAATTTTGCAACTCAATTGGCTGCCATTCTTAATGTAAAACCTTTGAGTGGCAGTGTGTCACATTTGTATTATATATTTTATTCTGTCCTATTCTAATGCCAGTTGATTTTACTACTGATGAAAATGTTGTCACCAGTAAATGGGTTAATTAAAGGACATGCCTACTTCTCTTGTTAACCATTAACAGGTGATGCACAATGTATCCTATACTGTTTAATGCCAGACATTTTTACCCATCAGGGAGAACATTTGCAATCATGAGCTAACTGTGGTATTCAGTAATTCTGTAGTATATACAACACAGTGACAGCATGCAATGGTCTTAAACTGATTCTGTTGTGATTTTAAATTCAAAGAAACACGTAGAGGTGGTCACAGAACCTGTTATTGTAGACTGTATTTGACTATCAGAAATACGTTAGTTCTATATATAACACAAATATTTATATAAACGTATTGGACCTCCGTTCATCAACCACCATCTACATTTAATTTATGTAAAATATTTATTGGATTACATTGGGAATAATATTTGACAGTCTTTAATAAGTTAAATAATAAATTTAATTAAAATCCATAATTAGTAATTGCAACAAGATATAAATAGTCAAAACAAATATGAACGATTTAAACTTACATACAGAGTATAAAGAGACGGAAATATTCTCCCTCTCAAATCGACCGTTTCAACATGCTAAAGAAAGTGGGAAAATTCTTTGTTGCGAGTGTTTAAAAAATGACGGGCTGCATAATTTTTTCAACGAAGACTCTGGTTTGAAACAACACTTTCGAATAATGCATAGTTCCAAGGATTTAAACAATTTAATTTTGGCCGAATGTAAAAGTCTTTTCCAGCATGCCCATTGTGAAGAAACTGCTAATGTAATCCAGCAGTTAGGTAGCCTACGGCTACGAGTTCAAACGGTAAGTTTATGATTATTTGAAACACAAATAATTCATAATTTGTCAACCTCTTGTTTTATCATTACTTGTGTTTAGACGAAAAATGATGCAATCGAGGGAAAATATTCATCCTACTGTGTAAACGCCCATGGTTGTGAATTTAGGGAGATGAATATCGTAGCGACAAGTTTGAAAGAAGCTGCTAAATTATACGGTTTAATTTTGAAACATGGTGGGGTTTTGAAACCTTTAGGGAGTCGACCATGTACGATACACGTGAAAGAAACAAACAATGGCGACACTTTCTACTCTAAAAATGAGAAAGGTTTTAAAGTATGGGATGCGGGGAATAGGATTTATGCTCAATGTTTCATTTCAAAAAGAGACGTAAGTTGTTGAAATTTTACAAATTATTAAATTTATTTCACTTATACTCATAGGTCATTGCAAAGGGTTTTTATAAGCTATGTGGAGCAGATATGGTCATTACTATAAAAAACGAATCCAATTGTACATTGAATTTTATTTTCATGCATTCTTTTTGAAATGAACCTTTTCTTTCTTGCACTCTTTGTAGTTGCTGATGCATTCAAGTGAAGAAAACCAGTTTTCCATTGGTAATGAACATGACACGTCCTTATGCAATACCACTGGAAACGCTTTGCCTTTGGATATAGATTCCGCTGACGACAACGCTTCACTGAAGGTGTTGAAGAAGGTCTTCGGGCATGACACTTTCAAACCAGGACAACTGGAATCCATTAATGAAATAATGTCCGGAAAAGATGTCATAGCTGTCGTTCCAACTGGCGGCGGAAAGACAATAATTTATGCTATACCCTGCATATTGAAGCCAGGAATAGCTGTAGTTGTTTCGCCATTAATGATGCTCATGTGCGACCAAGTAGCCAGACTTCGCAGTGTGGGAATAAACACATGTTATTACAATACTTTGCTGACGGAAGAACAAAGACGTAACATACTACACAACATTCAGCAGCCAGACTGTCAATATCAATTTGTTTTTGTCAGTCCGGAATCCGTGATATCAGAATGTTTTCAGAAGTGCCTTGACACTTTAGCGCAAAAGAAAAGACTTAATATGTTCATAATCGACGAAGCACACTGTGTGGAAAACTGGGGGAAGCACTTCAGACCTTCTTATCAAGAACTAGGAGTGCTGCGAAAGTACAACGTACAGTTTGTTGCACTAACAGGTACTGCGACTAACAGGACATTAAGTACAATTACTTCATCACTGCAGATGCAAAACGAAGTTGTTTTGAGATTGCCATGCAGAAGAAATAACCTGTGCTTTTCGGTTCTTACTAAGAAAGAAACCAAAGCCAAGGAACGAATTGCAGAAATTATTAGAAGCGACTTTGGTGGTCAGTGTGGCATAGTTTATTGTGCAAGGCAAGCAGACACGGTGGAGATGGCATTCCAATTAAAGGAAAAAGAGATTTCATCCACGTTTTACCATGCAGGTATGGATGGAGGAGAAAGAATCAGAAATGTGAATTTATGGATGGAAGGAAAAGTTAATGTTATCTGCTGCACAAACGCCTTTGGGATGGGTGTTGATAAGAAATGTGTGAGATTTGTCATACACCTTACATTACCGTCTTCTATTGAAGATTACATTCAAGAGTCAGGGAGAGGAGGACGCGACGGCGATAGTTGTTCATGTATCATGTTTTTCCGCTTTGCGGACCGGTTCTTTCATATTCGCAACATTGCAGCACTTCCCAAATCTGATGGACATGAATTGTTTCTTTTGAATAAGATAACTAATTTTTGCATTCAGCAATCCATGTGTAGACAACAGTTTATCTGCAAATATTTTGAAGATGATATTGGTGAATTGTGTAAATCTTGTGACATATGCCAGAAAGACATCACTCTTCAAGAGCAAGACATGACAGACCATGCAAAGGCCATTATCCAATGCTTAATAGCTATTATCAGACTCAAATCTCAAATAAAATTATCAGAACTAGCAATGACATTTATGGGATCAAAAGCAAAAGTTATTCTAGAGAAGAACTTTCATACTGTTGCACAACACGGAAAAGGAAAGGCTGCGTTTCCAAGCACTGCTGTAGTTACCCAATTCATCTATTATCTTGTCTCCCAGGGTTTCATTAACGAGAATATTAACTGTTTAGAAGATAGAAGCACTGTTACGTATCTAACTTGTGGCAACGTTGACGACTTGTTACACGACAAATGTCAAGTACTTTACATCTTTTAGTGTTATAAACACAAAGCTATTGGTATCACGTAAATCGAAAACATTTTTCTTGTATACGTATTACAAGTATCATATGTCATCTTCAGTAAAATAACTGTTGAAATAACAGTTAGCTAACCAGATGCCATAACCTTGACAAAAATGAGTTATCATTTTCTATATTTCTTATAACTTATGTATTTGAATGAAGCTTTTGAATAATTTAAGCGTAAACTTTTAGGAGCAAGAGAGCTTACAATTGCCTCTTGGCACAAGATAATTCATTAACGTTATGACGTCATCATTTCAGATTAGTTGGATCTGACATAATAAAAATATTAATAATTTACGGAGTATCAATAGTTTTGTGTTTTATAATACCCTAAGGCAATAGTAAAAATATTACTGTAAATTTTCTTCATAATGTATATTCATAATGTACAATTATTCATAATAAACTCACGACAACATGTCATATCTTAAGTCCGGGAAACATTCATACAATTTTTCTTTAAATGTTCCTTTGACTTTTATCTTGCCTTTGCCAATAACATCTATCAAATGATTGGGAAGCTTACCTTCTGCAACACCTTTCTTATCTACCGGATAACACTCAACTTCCTGACGTTTGGCGTTTGAAAAGAATTTATTTCTAAGGCAAAACCATGTCCTTTCACCTGATCAGGATATGATGATTGTTCTGAGTGTCGTGATGTATTGTAAACATTAAATCCTTCTTTTTCCCATATATGCCGCTCTAATTAGCTTAAACATATCGATGTGGCCATTAGTCGCTTACACATTGTGACAGTGGTGTGTCCGCTCACGTATTTCTTCAATGGTTGAACTACTTCAGCTTCTACAAAAGCATCGAGCTCTATGCCTTTTCCTTCTTTCCCACTGAGATTAACTGAGCTATTCATCTGCAACAGTTTTCTGGTTAGTAATGGCCATTTGGCAACGAATTCGACGTGACGAAACACTTCAATAGAATAGTTCTTAAAGGCAAGTTGAGCATAAATAGGTAGCTGAACCTGATAAATTATTTCACGTATATAACCATCACCATAACAAGTAGAAGCATCGTACAGCTTAAGCACTGGGCCATATACTAGGAACGCGGTAGATCTGTGTCGGAAAGCAACATCGCTTGCAGACAATGTAGATATCCACTCCTTAAATTTATCGAGAAGCACGCCCTTGGTCATGAGCACAATATTGTAACTCATTTTCAGAGGGAAACAGAGGGCTTTCAGAAAACTCGATAGCGGCAGCCATACCATACGCCATACAAACATCTCTAATTGCTTCACGTATTTGAGCAAGGTTATTATCTTGAAACTTCTTCTTTTTAAATGTTTCTTTTGTTAGTTTCTTTCTTTTCATAACTTCTGTTATAATGTAGTGTAAACCAGATGAACCGTGCACCTTGTACACAGCTTCACAAAAGTAACCTTTGTTATGAAGGTCCCCTGGACATATACCGACCCAACCATAAGAAGCTGATTGTGTCATTACTGCACTGTTCGTCTTGCATGTTCCCACGTCTCCGATAACTGGTGTGACAAAACCGGGAAAAGAAGGTTGGTTTGAACATTTGCTGTCTTTGAAAATTCTTTTTTTTTCAAACTATTTTGACTTCCTCCGCAGGTTTTGTCAATTTTACCGATGAGTTCATTTTCCTCTTCCGATAAATCTTCGTCTAATTTAAACAATTTGATATCTCTGATAGATCTAGTCTTTCAGCCATGGAAATGGGTGAAGGGACGCTTGTAAATAACGGACCATTACATCTAGCGCCAGATTCAATGAGAATTTTCCACAGTGATGTGTTCTTACATAGCACAGCTATACTAAGAGGGGTAATTCCACAGCCTTCTCTTCCGTTGACATCAAGACCCATGTCAATTAAACATCTACTGAGGCGTTCATTTCCCTTTAACAGCAACATGAAGAAAAGACCGTCCAAAGTGGTCGCAAACAGTGGCAGATTTCTTGTTAGCAGAACTATTTACAAATTCCAAGTAACGTTCTTCACTGTTCATTCCATTTATGTCAGATAACTGTAAGACAACGAATTAATAGCATCCCAAAAGGGCCTGTCCATATTTTCAAATCGCCTGCGTTCGTTTTCTAATGTGATTGCCGATACAGAACTTAATTCTGAATCATCTGAATTCACATCATCATCATCACCTGAGTCGATCCTCTTCTGTACTAGTTTCTATCTCTTTTTCTTTTGAATGCAAAAGTTTTTCCGCCTTTTCCATTTGACCAAGGTGGTTTCTTTTGCTGATCAGTAATTCGTAGTGTGATCTCGCAGTTTTAACATCAAACGTATTAGACACGTTATCAAATGGCAAGTATTCTGGATCATTATTACTCTTCGGTAAAAAGAAGTCTTCTGCAAGTTTATCTAAAATTCCCATTGTCCCAGCAATTGTACTATTGTCTTCCAGTGACAGGGGAAGAATGTGTACATTGCTTTTCGAAGAATTTGTAGTCTTCATAAGATCACGGTCATTAGGAACTGTAATGTTGTACTTTGATGTAAATGATGATTTAACGGAGTTAAGAATTAAGGGCTTCAGTTCCAATTCTGTCATATCTTTCAGGTTTTTTTTCGCTCGCTGGTAATCTGTTTAGAGCGTTATTTAAAATTTTCATCAAATATGCATCAACACTTTTTTCAAAAGCACCAGCTTTTTCATCATCACTTTCGATAAACAATTCTTCTGCATTCATATCCAAAACAGACTTCTTTTTTAAACAGAGGATGAACACATGTACTTTCGGACGTGATAATTTCATCCAATCCTTCCATTATGGGAACCAACAATGCCTGTCCAGTGAAGTTCCACATCATAGGTCCTATATATTTGAAAAGCCGCAAGTGCTTATGCTTTCCGCGATACATATTTATGTTGTCAAACATTAGGAAGATAGGCCTTTCTATTGGAGAATGTTTTGCAATATCTTCACGATTCTTGTCAGCACGCTTGTCAAAGAACCTCATAATTGTGGCCCAACTGACTGTCAAACCCAAGTGATTGAGTACATTAATAAATCGCATACCAGCTCCAAATGATATAAATAGGCATGTCAACATAGTTTTAAAATCGTTCTGAATTTTCTGGCTTTTCAAACTCACCAGGATTGCAAGTGAGTGAACAGAACCTTTCACCCGCATTTCTGAAACATTTCTTGCACTACTTTTGTTCAAAAACAATGTATCCAACACATCATAAAGAATCGAGCATCTTTCTCTTACATTTGATGGCAGATCGTTAAAAATAGAATCAAAATTAATCTGATCTAAACTGGTTTCAAGTCCAATATTTAAGAAACCAATGAATGTTTGCATTTCCTCATTAAGTTTCTTCTTGTCATTTGCACAAAGTCTTTCACATTCCTTTTGATGTTGAAGTAATTGCTGGATTTCCTTCTCATACACATTTTCTCGGATATTTGAAAGTTCCTGAATTCTTACAAACAGCTTCTTTTGCATATCAACCAATGTACGGACAGCATCTCTGTTGATGTTATCATCAGACAGCTCTTTTTCTAAATGCTGATTTACTAATTCCAACTCAGCAAACACTTGCAATGACTTCCTTGATATTTTTTATCTCAGACGATTCTTGCAAGGATAATGATGGTGGATTAAAATTGAATGAGCTTTTTCGTGCAACATTCTTGTAAAGTGTGATATTGTCTTTTCTTTTACGTGAAACTAAGACACCAGAAAACGCTTCTTTCATGGCATTTGTTGCCAATATCTTTTTAGATTTGTCCAAATGTAAAATATCAAACACTTCAGTTTGGTTTATTGCAGCTCCACTCAGTTCGACAAAATTCTCCTTCAGTATACCAACCAATACATCCTTTGGTAAAATGTTGCTAGTGATATTTTTTCTTTGATCTTTTGAATCCATATGCTCAGCATGTTCATTTCCTATACAAACATATAGCCATAAAAAAATTAGTTAGTCAATAATTATTGTCAAACCTTACCCAAAGTACATATTAGAAATTTACTATCATTGGGGAAACTCAGTTCTCAAGGAACAGGGTCCCTGGTTAATAACTCATTACCAGATTATTTACTCTATAGAATCTACAGTACCTTTGATGTTAAATTTATGTTAAAACAATTTTTGCTAAAGTTAGGGGAGGAATTTTTGAGGATTGAATCTCAATCAGCTTGGTTAGTAAGACTTGCATTATGGGACTGCAATGCACTCTGCTTTAATATTTTGGTGCAATATTTATACAGTTCAAAATAATCTCCTTGATATCTCATAAGCATTTTGGAAAATTACCATATAAATGATAATAGGTCACATGAATTGCCCTTATACCTGATAAAACTTATCATTATTGAATTTTTAATTTAAGTTCATCCTAATTATAGTATTCTTCATACAGGCCCTCTCATGTTGTGACATTATTTAATGTGTCTACAGCAAAATGCCATCCTGAGTACCAGAAACCAAGAGCAAAATGCTTGTGTGCACAGCATATTTGAAGTCTGATTAAACACTGCCACTTGCACAGCAAACAGTATGTAAATCAGGGATGAGTGCAGAAATGGCAAATGGGCAAGGCCTCATTCAGAAACATTTTTCTTTTGTCAAAGAAAACTTTGCCCTGAATAACAATACATTTAGAAAAAAAGTGTCACAAAAATGCAAAGAATGTTGCCTAAAATCAAGTTCTTCTCAGAAAGCATGCCCTCAGACATATATATCTATAAGTGGAAATTGTTATCCATTACAAGAAAATAGTTGCCTAGCATAAAAACTGTCTAGAGATGATATTATTCAGGAGTAAAATAAGTAAGCATGTACTACTGTGTGTGATTCACAAATGAGAATAACATTTGCTGCAAACCTGTAAAAAATACTTATTAAGTACTTGTAAAAAGTAAGACTCTCAATAATAAATTTACAACCCATTGAAATAAATCAACCTTTTTATATGATCAACCAATTGACAATTAGCATAAGTATCTGGCACAT